TCCTGCAGCAATAATATTTGAATAAAATTAAACTGTAATAGCAATGTTATTTGTTTTGTTTTTTTTATCTGGCGGGCAGTACATCCAGTTGACACAAATATTTGACGATAATTTTAATAATCAATTCATCTTTGAGTAATTCTTTCATCTCTAATCTTTTACTTGTTATTTTATCTATGGTTTTTTTCCCTTTCAGATCTTTTCCAGGGTTCTTTCGAAAGGAAGCAAGGGGGAAAAAGTAGTGATGGCAATATGAAGCCCCATGAAGCCTTGAGGGATAGCAGCCTATTACTCGGCCCATGAGTCGAAGGCTCAAGGTGAATCATGCTCCACTACGCCATCATGTGGACAAAGAAATACATAACACTCTTAAGTGCTTACAATGAATGGTGAGATCTAATGTTAAAATGTATATTTACAATCTATGGTCTAACGTGTTGTGTTTGAAATGATGCTTCATGAACTATGAACTATTTGAGTCTTTCAGTCAATTGTGTTGATACAACAAACACATCCAAAGTAATACAGTTCTACAGAAAGTGATTAATGGAGGAAAAACTACCAAGAGGTGGATTAATTAAACTCAACAAACCATTTATTCCCAATAAATAAATACATTTACTTTGCAACACAAAATTTATTATGGGTAGACCAGGATTCGAACGCTAAATCTTCTGCTTCGGAGTCCGTCATAGACCGACTGCGCCACACAGCTGTTGTGAAATGTATTATCCAGCGTATTATTACTAATAACTTGAAGCCTTGATATATGAGGTTTTACTAAAGTGAAACGTTTTTAATTGTATTTCATATGAAGTAGTTTCTCTATACTTAGTACAGGACTGCTCCACATCACGCACACACACGTACGCACACACACACACACGTACGCACACAGAGGCAGACGGGGACAGCCAATACAGTCTATGGTACAGCCGCGGATCACAAAGCACCTGTCAAAGCAATGCACTCTCCGAACTATATAAAGCACTATATGAACCGTCACGTGGTGCGGCCGCTACGCGAGGCTTCGAACGTCACCACACACGTGACCAATACACGCCTCGACCCACACTTCACAAGAAACGCCCCCAGATTACTCGGTCCACGCTTCGAAGACTCGGTCCGCTCAGCACATCACTAGGAAAAAGCGATTCACTCAGCATCACAGAAAACCAAAGTCCTTCTCAGTTAATTTTGTCTTTTTGGACAGAAAACAGTCAAAAACACCAAAAGGAGAGTATGAGCTAAGACTTCTTTTAGCAGGACTTGGAAAACGGTCTTTGCTTGTTGACGAAATGATGACTCACTCACAGGTATGAAGTGATGGACAAATACTGTACATAGAAAGTATATAACAAAGTTCATTTTGGAACCACAAGTTACTACTTTGCAATAATTTATGGACAGGAGATGCTAGTAACATCGATTCATTGTCTAATCATTTTCATTCATCTGTTGTCTTTATTTGGAAAGCTCTGCAGGTCTACTTTGTTGGGCTATACACATAAAATTGATTGATTATTTGCTTACACAGAGGTAAATAAGTAAAACTCACTGCTAAACATGTTCTACATTCAAATACTCACATATAGCCTTTATTTGAAGTATCAAATCCATTTCCCAGGATTGGAAACACTGATATACATAGTACAAATGCTTGTAAACATAGTACAATAGGTTTGAAACAGAAAACTTTTATTGCCATTGTTGCCACACAATTTTCAAACTCTTAACTTGCTTTGACAATAAGGTGCAACATGAAACGCATCAATAAACAATATTAATAGAAATTGGCTGACTGTGGTTAACTCATTATTCCAGTAATGTGTTGTTTTTTTCTAGTTGAGTGAGATGCTTTGGAAGGCCTACCCAAAGCTTGAGCTTGTCAAAGGAGGCTGGTTGCTACATAAGTCTACAAGAAAGAAATGCATTTGTCAAACTTTTATGATCATTTTATGTACTGTAGGTAATATTTATTTATTTTACATTATTATTAACAGGGGGAGGTGGACAACGCGAGCTCATAATAATTCCTCCCGAAGCAGAAGGGTACCATGGTCTGCAGTTAAAAGCGGTTACTGGAAGTGGAAAGTGCACTGTGTACATTGTCCCTCTTCAGGACACTGTGGACATGGCACCATTACCCCCTGATGCACCTGAGTTTAAACTCATGCCGAAGGCTCCATGTGCCACCTGCAACATGTTGGTCCCACTTCAGTCACTTCCGCTACATGTCAAGACATGTAAAAATGAGCTTGTGGACTTGTCAACATCAGATGATGTGTGTTAATTATTAATTTTAAAAAGTATATTCATTAATTGGATAAATACAACTATTTCATATACGTTTTACAGGAGCTACTTAGTGAATGTCCAATGCCAGCAATGTCCCCAGAAAAGAAGAAAGACAAGGTGAACTGTTCAGATATTTATTATTTTTTTTCTGTATAGTGAAATGATATATACTTTTTTTCCCAGACTGAATGTCCTGTGTGTAAAACAATGTTCTGCACAGACCTAATAGAAGTCCATGCAGCAGAGTGTGGATTGAGGTTCTTGAGGATTGAGGAATGAGGAATGTACTGCTGATTGCCGTGTAATGCTCTTTTGATATTGTTACTGCAGATCGGAAGTCCAGAATAACACAGAAGACATTGGTTTTGTCTCAAGCAAGGATGTTTCTGACTTTGAAGTTCATTCTATCGATTCATTCCAAAGGTTGTTTGTTTTTTAACTTTAACTACTTTGATTTTTGTAATTTCTTCATTCCTTATAAAAAAAATTTCAGTTTGGACCAAATACTGAGCTGGATAAGTTCTCAAGTACAGGATGGCACGTTTGAAATTTGTGTATCAAGAAGTGATATTTTCAATAGAGGAATGCATCAGTGGCAGCGCCAGAAGAAGTCCTCTCCAAAATTCAAACTGATGGTGTCTTTCATAGAGGAAAACGGCTTTGACACGGGTGCCCTAGGAAAGGAATTCTTAACGGGTATTTTCTTCATTCTTTTGTTGAACTCCTTGTTTGATATTTTTGGTCACTCCCCATATTCTGCCTTTAACAGAGATGATTGCAGAAATAGAGAAAAGGCTCTTTGTTGGTGGTGTGGACAAAAAAGGGAAAAATCCAGTCTACTGTCTGGGGAGCCTGGACAAAAACTATTTCCGGTACATTTCACACGTGTTGAACTTTGATTTACATGACGTGCAGCTGGGTGATACATTTCACCTAATCATTATGAACACGTATATTACACATATTTTAAGATTTGAAACAACTCGTTTGTATTGAGTATTTACTGCTAATTGTTTCTGATTGATTAATAGAGCTGCTGGTGAGATTATGGCAGCGAGTATTGCCCAAGGCGGACCACTCCCCTCCTTCATGAGAAAGTGGTGTTATGCATATATTTGTTCAGGCGATGCAGATGACATACAAGTGACATCAGATGATGTAACTGATGTAGAACTTTCTCAACTCATTACAAAGGTTGTTGTCGTGTTAGTTTGTTTTTCACATTTAAAAAAGGTTTATAACAATATTACTGCTTTTAGATACAAGAAGCAAGTAATGAAACAATTGCCGAACTGATTGATGGATTGATGAACTGTGGATACACTGGGATAATTTCGGACAACAAAAAAGATGTTATGACCAGGTAAGGGTTTTTGGTTACGAGCTGAGGTGGGTAGTACCCAAAAGTTGTATTTTACTTCAAAACAATAATGTATAGACAGAAGGTAGTCAATTACTAAAGAGGAAGATTAAAAACGAAGTAAGTCAAATTTCTCGATCTTGAAATGCGCTCACATTAGCGCTCTTAAGTAATTTTTTTATTATGTTTTTTGTGAAATTACTCTTTAGTGAGAAGGGTAACAACAACTGTAAGAGCAGTGTGACATCAAACTAAATGTTACTCAACTAGTGAGTAAAACTCACATATAAGATTAAAGTTATGCAAGTGCGTGTAAATGAGCTAAGAGCGCTACCCGCTTCTGGTTATGAGTTAATGTTAAATTGTTAAATCTGAATTCTTGCTTTCAGATCTGTTGTACTGCACTCCACTATGAGGCTGATCCCCATGTTAGATCAGCTTAGAAAAGGCCTGTCTGCCTCTTTTTGTTTCTGGAGAAGACGATGGGGTATTCTTTGTTTCAAAAAATGTCTTTATATATTGTTGGTGTTGTACTGAACGGAAGTTTTGGCTTTTTTCCAGGTGGATGCCGCCTTTATCATTCAGAAGTGTCACCCTGAGTACAGCGAAAAGGGCTCAGTTAGATACACCAGAGAAGTAAACATCATGAATTTCTTTCAGGATTTTCTACAGGACATAGAGGATCAAGATGATCTTGGTAAGCTTTTTGGTTTAGGCAAAATCACACAAAATGATATAAGAAGCGCTGGTAATAATTAAAAAAAAAATACACATTGTGGACAATTCAGTTTTGTAACTCAACAATTAAATACAAGGTAGAGTATACGTTGATTAATATACTGTGTATTGTGAACCATACTAAAACAGTAATGTTGTGTCAAGTTTGGTAAAATAAAAGTAAATGCTATCAATAATACATCCATTTTCTTCCTTTCCCGGGTGGCGGGGGCAGAAATCCAAGCAGAGACGCCCAGACTTCCCTCTCTCATACACTTTCTCTAGCTCGCCCGGGGGGACCCCAAGGCGTTCCCAGGCCAGCTGAGCGATAATCCCTTCAGCGTACCAAAATAGTATTTTCGTTCTTGATTAAACAAGGTGTCATACATGCAAAGGGGTGTTGAAAAGCACCTGCCCCTTGTTGTCCCAAGCTCTTTTCCTTTGACTATTGTAGATACTCTTAATCTCCATTTTTGCATTCCACATTTAGTTCATACCCTTTCTGCTCTGACTTTTTTTTTTTTCTTACTTGGGAGTTTAACATATTTATATGGGACATTGCAGCCAGGTCTTTAAAATGTAATGTCTGGGTTTTCATGGGTAAGTATAAGCATTGGTACGTATCTTACCATTTACATTGTCTTTGTGTACTGTAGAGGCTGAAGTTGAAGATGGCCATAAAAAGTTGACAGTTGGAAGAGTCATGCAGTGGATCACCGGCCAGGGACACAAACCTTGTCTGCCAAGTGAGAAGTCAGATTCCACCATGATTGCGACTCCTTCCATACTATTTGCTTTCCAACTGTTAGTGCATGTAGTCGTACCATTACATTTCCTGTGGTGCACTTGACAACATTGAATGAATTCAAATATGTCATGAATACAGCTTTGATGGATGGACAATCTTTTTACATAATATGAATATAGTCACCATACCACTCCCATATTGCCACAGGGTTACTAAAAAGTAAGTTATTGTTTTGTTACCTGTGGGCCATATGCATACTTTTTTGCCTTTGCAACAAATTGAATTGTTTTATGGATAAGAAAAATATTGTTCAAGGTTAGTTGTTGAATTAAAAAAAAAAAACCTTTTCATTCACAGGTTGTTTTATTCATTCATTGAAAAGTTCTGAATGTACTGAACCATCGATACATATATATCTGTACCGTAACAATCAGAGTGGGCAAGTGGATTGAATATGGATGTTACAGCATCCATAATAACAGAAGGTAGTAGATGGTAATTTTCTGGGACCTGGACTCCAACAGGTTCAACTGTGACACCGTCAAATGTTTTCCAGTCAGTTCCAAACATTTCAATGTCCTTGTGGGTAAAAAAATACATCTTAGTAAAATGTCAATAATATAGCGACAGGATTATGCAAGGTTTGAAATGAGTAACCATGGTAGAACCATGTCACACTTTATGTTGGCCATTTTATAAGTTTAAATCAACAAAATATATAAAAGTATCAATATGATGCACAGGGGAATAGACACCAGAAATGTAAATAAACAAACCTGCAAATCCTCTTCATTTTGGTCAGTGGACTGCATGTGACCCATAACCCACAATTGGTTGGGGCTCAATCCTCCTTCAGACTTCAAAGGATGATTGTCCCACGCTTCTGTGAAGGTATGAAGTGAGTTGGCCAGTCTAAGCAGAAACACGTAAAGGGCACAAAACAAATGCAGGGAATCCGACAGATCAAGAAAGCCATCCTCCTCAAGAGTGTGTAGTACATCGTAGTACAGTTGCGTTACACTGGTCCAAACATCTCGCCAAAGACGTTCAATTCTAAAAAAAACAATACAGCAACAACCACAATGAGCAAGATCAAAGAACGGTAATCATCATTACAAAAACTAATTTAATTACTAGTAATTGTTGCACCTACAGTTCACTTGTTTAAAGTAACTAAAACTCCCCCCAAATCAGAAGCAGCACTAAATGTCATCACTTGGATGTAGAAAAAGGTGTGGCTGTCATCAAAACAAAACACAAAAGAATGGACGACTGAGGAAAATAATTTTTCACAGCACTTTAGCTATTTTATCATATTCTGCCAAAAGTAACAAAGTGTTACTCTGTTACATTTAGCAGCAGCAGTAATTTGTTATTCAATTACATACATTTTTTAAAACTGTAACTAGTAATAGTAGTAACAATAGTATACATGTTGTAATCAGTGTTGGCGAGTCACTTTAACATTGTATTTTAGGCACTATGTGGTGGTGAAAAATACATCACAGTCAGCCTAGATGGTGTGAACAAAAGTTTAGCGGATCCTGTTTATTCTTGTTCAGTTATGTGATCAAAATGTGAATTAACTAATTTAGCCTGTAGAGGAGCCAAGCAGCTCCTTCAGGGACAGACGCCTCCAGTGCAAGAAGGAGCAGCTCCTATTTGGGTGACTTGGCTCATCTGAGGTATTGCTTTCTGTAGTTGCTACCTCAGTGGTTGTACTTGTGTTGAGATATTGTCCGGCCTGGCTCCCACAACACAATTATAGCAAATTACTTTCATAATGGTTTATAAACATACCGTTGATTGTGAACGCTTTTTCCGGCTATGAAGCTCCCTCTTCCAGTCCCTTTCACACGGAACATTGTTTCAGCTACGGCCACATTTTCCACACCTTCATCACCTCGAACCCTACAGAAATAGCAATAATAATTCAAATACAATCAAATACATTATTAAAAGTCGGGCAGATTATTATTTATACAAATTATCCATACAAATTATGTATAGAGTATGGCAAAATTATACCTGGAGGGCCAATCAATTTTTTCCACTGCCTGCTGAAAAAACAACAGAGCAGTGCTTGATCGGTTGTTTGTGGCTGGCTCTAAATACATGATCTGTAAACAAATCATTGCATACATTTCACACACAATTTACAGTATACAAAATGTAAAATCACAAACCTTTCTGGAGAACCCGTCGATTGCTCCAAATATGACAATGTTGTATCTGAAAGATTGGAGAAATAAAATAAGTTTACCTTTTATATTTAAGATCACAATTTATTTATCATGCCATGTGGTAATTTTTAATAGAGAAATAAGATAGAGATAGACAGCGACAGAGATTTTTTAGGAATATAAGCTTTGCTTTTGTAAGAGTTACCTGATAAGCTTGTGATTAGTGTCAATGTGTACAAGGGACAATGGCCGTTGAACATGGTATGTCCTTCTGACAATGCATCCAAGTCGCATCATTCGATCCAATATACCAGGAGCGTCAACTCTGTGCATGGACTGTTTAATACGTTCCCATTGAACTCTGTGTCCTTCTGCCTGAAGACATCCCTTTACCATTCTATATCCTGCATTGGGTAATCTTCTTTTAATTGACAGGACTGCATTGTCAAGTTCTGTTTCTGTCAAGTTGCTGTAGGTAGCTCTTGTTGATAAGTTAAGTTCACGCATGCGTCTGAAAACGGTTGATTCACTGACTCCAAGCAATTGAGCTATGCAAAAAACGGGGAGGGGCATCTGAATCAGGTGTACAAGAAGATCTTCAGAAACCATCAACTTGGGTTTTCCTCGTCCACTACTTTCTTCTGTGATCAGAGCATGAGGTGTTTCTTGATAACACGCTGCATTAACTTTTGTTGAGAGGGTTATTAAATTATCTACAATATCTCTTGCAATGGGAATAACTCTAGCTGCAGATGAAAATATAAAAACCTCCTGATTTAAAACATACTGCAAATAGTCCAAATTCAAATGCGGCTGATCTAAAATGTCAGAAATTGTTAACAAACGTCTCATTAAAAGCACGGACGGCTCTTGCTGTAAACAAAAACAAAAAACTGTGGTTACTATATGTCCATTTCCCCACCCACAAAACAACACCCCCCCCCCCCCCCCCCACCCCCCCCAACCACCACCACACCAAACACCCCACCAAACCAACCCACCCCACCCACCCCAAACCCCCCCCACCCACCCCCACCCCACCCCCCAACACACACAACCCCCACCCAATCTCCACACACCCCACCACACACCCCCACACCCCCCCCCACCCCCACCCCACCAACCCAAAACCACCACACAAAACAACCAACAACAACACACACAACCACCACCACAACAACCACCAATACCAACCCCCCCACACTTAATAATACCCATTAACAATCTCCTTCTCCCAAAATAATCCCCAATTCACCACCTACTCTAATACACACCTACTACCCCATACACAATACTCATAATCTCACCACCTAAACAACCCACCAAATATACAAATCCAATTCTAAACACTTAATCATCCCCAAACCCTCAACTAACAAAAACATATCTAATAATCATCCAACAACCCCCCAACAATCTTATCATCCATTATACCCCCATATATAATCACCACAATCTTCCTAACAAACCTTCTCTAACACCACTCTATTCCAATTCCCCCTCTCCTCCTCAAAATCACCCCTCACATTTCACATAAATTTAACTTACATCCCACTTCTTTTATCCACATTACATCCCTCACCTACCCCATACCCTTTCATCTATAACAATCCACTTTTACTACAAACCTCATTCTACCTTCTACTCCCTTACTATCATTTAATTTCACAACCCCACCCCCCCCCAACCCCACCAACAACCCATCCCCCCCCCTACATCCCACCAACCCCAACCACCCCCAACAATCACCACTACCATCAACCAACCCCTCCCACACAACCACCCCCAACACACAACCTTCAACTAACCCAACTCCAACACAAACCCCCCACACAACCAACCCCAACCCCTCCACCCCCCAACAAACTCATCTACTCACAACTACCCACACAAAAACCCCTTAATCACCAATCCAAATCCTCCCCCATACCCCCCTACCACCCCACACCCCACCCCCCACCCCCCCCCTCCTACCCCCTACTAACCCCTCACCCCACCCCCCAAAACCCCCATCACCCAATCTCCCTACCCAACCCCACAAAACAAACCCCCCCACACCCTCCCCCCACCCCCCACACCTCCACCCCATTAACCTCAACACAACCATCCTATTTCCATCCCTTTATTCATCCCCCCCCACTCAAATCTTCAAAAACTCACAAATCCCAATACCTCCCACAAAATCCCATTTCCTAACCTCCATCCTCCAACAAAAATAACAACCAAACTCCCAACCCCCCCAATCAACTAACATTCCCTCAACCCCACCCACAACTCCACCAAATCAAATACATCCCACATCCCCTCTCCTACTCCCACTTCACCCAACCCCCACACCAAACCACTACCCCAACTCTATCCACCCCAATCTACCCTCCACCCCCCATATTCCCACATCTCCCACAACCCTAAACCCCCCACCACACCTATACCCAACCATATCATCCCCCATACCCAACCCACCCTACCCACTACCTTCATCTACAACCAATCCAACTTAACATCCCACTCTTCACCCCCCACACACCAACTAAACAACCACATCATAACCCACTACCCCCACACCCTATCCACCCCTAACCCACACCCATTACCCCATACACAACCCCCACCACCAACTAACCCACCCTATAAATTCAAACCCCCACCTAACCACACATCTACAACCAACCCACACACATTCCACCAAACCCCCCTCTTCCCCACCTTCACACCAACCATCCCCCCCTTCCCCCCCCACACCAAACCCAACACTCACCCCTCATACCCAACCCCCTTCACCCCCATACCATACCCAACACCACCCCCACCAAAATACTCATCCCCCCACCCATACCATCACCCTCCCAAACCACTATCCACCCCAACACCATACTCAATTTCCCCCTCACACAAAAACAAATCACCCCAAACACCTATATACTCCATCATCTACCTTTATTTCCCACTATCAATCCACACCCCAACCCCATAATCACATTCCCCCCTATATCCACCCTATCCTCCACCTATATTCCACCTACCATCCCACCACCCCACCCCCCCCAACACCATCCTCTATCCACCCCCCCCTCCCACCCCCCACCACCCCTATTACATTTATTCTAACTATACCACTATATATCTTTATCACTCCCAATTTCCAAACTATAATATCTCCCCCCCCCCCCTCCCCCTTCTCCCTCTCACACTAAAACCACCTAACCATACCAAACACTAACCTTCACCCAACCCCACCACAATCCCCCCCCCCCTCAACCCTAAACCTCTTACATTCCACCCTCCCTTACCCCTCCCCCCTTCAACCATCAAACCCTCTCCACACCCACCCCCCCCCACCCCCATCTCTACTCACAAAATCACTCCCACTCAATAATCATTAATCCTTCATTCCAACCTCCCCCCCCCATCAAATCAATCTCCCTCCCTCCTCCCAATCATTCCCCCCCCTCCCCCACCCACCCCCCCATCCTCCCCTACTCCCACCAACCCACCCACCCATCCTCCCATACTCTCCCCCACCCACCCCCCACCCACCCATCCTCCCTACTCCACCACCACCACCCATCCTCCCATACTCCACCCACCCACCCAACCCATCCTCCCTACTCCCCACACACCACCACCCATCCTCCCCTACACCCACACCCACCCCCCCATCCTCCCCATACTCCCCCCCCCCACCCACCCAACCTCCCATCCACTCCCCCCCCACCACCAACCCCACCTACCCCCCCCCCCCATTCCCCCCATACACAACACACCCCCACCCCCACCCAACAAAACCACACAACAAACCAACCAACCCACCCCCCCAACAAACAACCAAACCCCAACCAACAAAACACCACACACCAACCCCCCACACCAAACCAACAAAACCCAACTACCCATCTAACCACCCTCTCACATCTAATACTCTTCCACTCCAAATCCACCCACTTCCAAACACCACACCCACCCCTCTCTCACAAATACTTCCACTAACCCACTCCCCCCCACCCTCCCCACCCCCCAACCACCCCCAAACCAACCAATCCAACCCCTCCTACCACAACCAAAAAAAATACCCAACCCCCACCCATCATCACACAACCCCACCCATCCCCTCAAACCCAACCCCCCCAACCCACACCACCTCACAACCCCTCCCACACCCTCCACCCCCACTCCCCACTCCTCCCCAACCCCCCACATCACAACCAACCCCCAAACCCACCAAACCAACACCCTAACCCCCCCCAACCTCCCCACCCAACCCCAAAAAATCATAATCACTCTCCCCACCCACCCAAAAAATAACCCACAACACAACCCACATCACCCCACCCCCCCCCCCACCCCCCACCAACCCTCCTCACCCCCAAAAACCCAAAACAACACTCTATTCTCCACACCCCCCCAACATTCAAACCCACCACAAAACACCCCTATCCCCCCCTATAATCAACACACCACCCACTCCAACCCACAACTTTCCCCCATAACCCCCCACCCCCAACCACCAAAACCAACCCCTCCTACATTTCACCAAACCCCCCCTCCAACCCAACCAACACAACCCCTCTCTATCTCCCCAAACAAAACATTCACCAACCCACACATTCCTTACCAACCCTCACACCCATACACATCAACATTCTCCCCCCCCCCCCCCTTCACCCTACACCCACCACCCACCCACCCCACCTTCCACACAACCACCACCCCACACCCTTCCACCCCCCACCCACAACCAATCACATACCCACAACAATCCCACCCACCCCCAAACAACTTCACCACACACCACACCCAAAAAAACAACAATACAAACACCCAAACAATCACACACAAAACATACAAAACCCCAAACAAACAAACAACACAACCATACAAAACCCCCACAAACAAACAAACCACAACCACCACCAAAAACCAAACAAACAAACATACAAACACAAAAACCCACACACCAAATACAAACACCACCCCACCCAAACCAACACACTAAAACCCCAAACCCAAACAAAAACAAACATATAAAAATATACCTCATGACAAAACAACCAAACAAACAACATACAAACACCCAAACAACCAAACAACCCACAACCAACATAAAAAATCCTCCCCCCTTCATAAAACTCAAATAACCCCCCTAAAATAAATCCTACTTATCTTTCCCCCCTCCCTCCACCAAAAACCCCCCAACCCACCATCACTTACACTACCTCTACCACTATCATCCTCTATCCTATACCCTCATTAATTCAACATTATCCTATTCCCCCTTCATCCCCCTACCTACATACTATAACATATACCTCACTCCTTCCATTCCCCAATAACCCCCACCCACCCCTAAGCCCCACCACTTCCATATTCCACACTCCTCACAAATCCAAATTATCCCCCATCCCTACACACACATCCAAAACACTACCCCACATACCCTCCCATACATCCTTACAAACAAATACCAATACATATAAACATCCAACACCCCCAAACTCCATCAACCATACCACCCCCCACCCCAACCCCACCCACCAACTAAAAATACCCACACAACCACCCCCCAACAAACACCACCAACCCACCACCCACACCACCAACCATACAACCCCCACAAACCCCCACAACAAAAACACACCCACCCCCCCATTCAAACACCACCAACCCCCACCTAAAACCCCACACATACCCCATCACCTACACAAACCAACCATTCAATCACCCCCACACCCCACCCCCTTTCACCCCAAACCACCCAACACCACCCACCCCACACCCCAACCAAACCAAAAAACCCCACCCCCCCACAAACATCCAACACAACCCCCCACAACCCCCACCCACCCCCCACCACCCCACTCCAACCACTACCACCCCCCACAACCCACCCCACCTACACCCCCCAACCCCCCCCCAACCCCCCCCCCACCCCCTCCCACTCCCACAACCCCCACACCCCCCCCCCCCCACCACCCCCACCCACAACCCCCCCATCCATACCCCACCACACCCACCACCCCACCCCCCCCTCCACCCCCAACCAACACAACACCCAAACCTAACCCCACCCCAACCCCACAACCCCCCCACACCCCCCCCCACACCCCCCCACCCCAACCAACCCCCCACCACCCCCCCCATACACACAAACCCCCCCTACACACACCAAAACCAAAAACCACCACCCCCCAAACACCAAACTCCACCCCACCCCCCAAACC